AGTTGCAGGGGGAGTAAAACATTCCCAGACGATGCAATGCTGGTCACCGACAGCTAGGGAGCGCGCACGCGCAGTAGACGCAGCTGCAAGTTGCCCACGTAGGGTGGTAACTCACTGAGTTTCTGAAGAGGAGAGGTCCCTGATGGATGTGGGGTCTGCTGTAAGCCAAGAGCCTGCAAACCACCTGCCACGCCCTAAATAAGGTAGCGTTTGTTCCCCTAAAAGTGGCACGTTTGAGCAGTGCCCAATCTGAACATTTGTACACTTCCGCCTTCCAACTTTGCTTCTTGCACTAAATGGGACTCAGACCCACCCACTACAGCTTGCCCAGCTAAAAGGCCAGTGACTGGGATCAAGTGAGGGAAAGTCTGTTCCTCTGCAAGTTTCAGCACACGAGTCCTGCCATTTCTGATCGGTGCTTTTCAACTTGGGTTCCATGAATTGGTCGTTCCTGCTTTTGGAAGCGGCCAATAAATAGGTATCTTTGCAATATGCAAATATGCACTGTACTTAATATCAGTGTCAGAGTCAAACTCTTCCACCCACATGTATGTCCCTTTTAAGAGGCTTCTTAACCTTAAACTGGGGACTGTGGAGTCCACAATTCAAAAAGTTGGAGTCTCACATTTTCAGAACGATAGGCCAAGGGGTTTAGAACACTGTGCTGGGAACTTTCTTAAGGCTCAGAGTTTGAGCAACATTGGCTCCCCGGCACCCATCTTTGGAAACTGCCCTTGCAGAGATGGCCAAGGTCAATTCTCCAAACCGAACATTCCCTCTGAGGGGTGAAGAGAGGCAAGGAGAGTGAAGAGAGGCAAGGAGAGACCTCTGCTAGCTGGGGTCTGCCCAGGAGACACATGTCCAGGGAAGACGGAGCGGGGTGTCAAGCCTAGAAGTCTTTGTTCTCATAAGAGGGAGAGGAAGGAGGAGAGAAGCAGTGTTCACCCCTCCCATAATCCTCAAACTGGAAAGAAGATAGGAGTCCTCAAGACATGACATGAGGTGCAGAGAGAAGTCACACTCTAGCCACCGATGCCTGGGCCACACCTGTCCAGACTCACCCTCTCCGACCTGGTGTTCTAAGGCCAACTTCCCAACCAGCAAGGAGACAGTGCCCGGGCAGAGATGGGAACAGGGCCCCAGATTCTGGTCCAGGTTCTGCTGCTAACTCCTGGGGCCTCTTGAGCCTCCCCCAGGCCTTACTTTCTCATCTGCCATCTTCCTCAGGAATCATAGGAAGGTCAAAAGATCTTTAAAAACTCAATGGCACAGGGGGGGGAGGTTCATTTCACCACCCTCTTCTGCCAAAGCAGTTCTAGAGTACACACACCCATGCACACACAGGCACATGCGTGTGGAAGCATACATGAACACACGCATGTGTGTGCCACAAACACATATGCACACGCACAGGTGTCTTTTCAAAGCACCTGCAAGCAGCCCCTGTCAAGTGCCTCTTAGGTACCAGGCTCTGCGCTGGTCTCTTCTGCCAGCTTCCTGGCGCTGCTGTACGAAGTACCACAAGAAATCGATTGGCCCACAGTTCTGGAAGCTGCGAGTCTGAGCCCCAAGGCCTTGTCTAGGCTGGCGGCTGCCCTCCTCTCCCCGGACACGTTCTCAGCTTAGTCTAGGAGACCTGTGTTCCTTAGTGCCCAAACAAGCCAATGGTAGTTCAAAGAAGAAAGCCCCAGGGGAAGCCCAAAGGGTTAAGTCTCGGCACTATGAAGCTATCCACAGCCACTGAGGCACAGTGTCTGTTCACAGTCTCAGCGCTATTACCTGTATGGCCTGAGTGCAATCCCCAGCCAGGGAGCTCAGGGCACAGCAAACCACTCCCAACCCACCTGCTGCTCCCCTCAGCAGTGGAATTCAGTCGCTCCACCTCTTCTGCTCCCTCACTCTATCTCTGGTGAATCCTCTCACCACCACCCCACACCCCTGCACCCCTACACCTCTGCCCTACATCCCAGCTCTCGTATGTAGAAATAAATAAATCATTAAAAAAATAGAATGAAAAATAGAAGCAACAGTCTGGGAGAAAATATTTCCAAAGCACATATCTTATGTGTGACCAAATCATTTTTTAAAAATCTCTAAACTCAACAATGCCAGCCAAGCATCAGGCTTTGAAGCAATGCCATGTTAAGGCCTATTGAAAAAGGCTTTGTCTTCCAAAGGATTAAAAACAGTGCTGGGGGGAAAAAATGCATAACAAAACATTGAGCAAATCCCAGCTGAGGTCTGGACAGTTTCCAAAACAACTATTCCATCCTATTCAAAATGTCAAGGTCAAGGAAGACATGCTCAGAATCTCTTCTAGATGAAAGACAGCTAAAGGCAGGACAGTTCCATGGAGGAGCGATCCTGGCTAGAATCCTGAACTGGGTCCTTGGGAGCAATGACCACAAGGCATTATCCAGCCAGTTGATTGACTAGGAGTGACCGCGGATTTGACAATAGCACTTAACCAGTGTGAAAGTCTCCGCGTTTTAGCATTGCTCATGGGTTATGCAAGATGTTACCTGCATGTGCTGTGGAGATTCAGAGAGAAAACTCGGGGAGAAGACCACAGCCTGTGTGAAGTGCACCATGGGCAGTGGCTCACCAAAGAACCCTCTTTCTTCTGCTCTTTTCTTTCTTTCTTTCTTTCTTTTTTTTTTTTTTTTGTAAGATAGATTTATACATACAGAACTGGGATACAGGCCAGAGATACAGAGACAGAGTGGGGAGCAAAACAGTCAGATAGACGGAAAT